GCAGGGGAGGCGATAGTCCGATAGAGCGATGCCAATGCTATATGGTGGTGGATGAGGTATCGTGGCCCTGGCTATCTCCCTCAGAACGTGGTGAGTTGGCATTGCAATGTGAGGTCTGGCGTACATTCGGAGAAAGGAGAATCTGAGACGTTTCTGACGATTCCCTCGCAACCCCGAAGCCAGCCTAGAGGGCTATTCCGCGCTGACTTTAGCAATGCTTGTCTTCATACATTGAAGTGGTTCCCAAACCAGGCCACCTAGCGAATCCAACAAACGAGAGCGATATTCTCAGAAAACGGAGTTCGGGCTTTGGTTGAGCTGGTGCTTCCTGGCTGCGAGGCAGCCATCAGACGTGCCGCATGTTGTTGTCGCAGTGGACTCATGACTCATTTCCACTGGTGACCGATTAGGGAAGGCTCTGCTTTTGCCGTCCCAGAATGGATTTTCCCCAGATGGTCAGGCGTGCTTCTCGCTCATGGTCGGCCGGACCATAAGGTTTCCATCAAAACTTCATTCTGCAGCAGTCCTTGCCATACTGATGGCGTGTGCTGGTGCATCGGCTGCGCTCAGGTATCTGCTACAATACCCTGGTAGCAACGTCCGGAGGCACTCCCAATTTAGGGTGCAAGGGGCGCTCATCAAAAATGACCGCAGGCCCAGTATGAGGTTGAAGTTCATAGCTCGTTTCGTCTTTGCCGTTGCGATTGGACCACTAGCTCAGTACCCTATCAGTAGCAGAGACTGGGTCAAACACAGCGCTGATCTTCTCTGTTGTCCTCCTTGCTACAGAGTTCATTTGAGGATCGTTAATATTTGAGGATCGTAAAGCATAATCATTCATTATAGTCACTGACCTATTTTTATTCCTAGTTGATTAACCCGTTACGGGCTTGCGCTTCCGAAACCATGCTGTTAAGGCTCTTGAAGCATACTTCAACATACTAACGTATTTCGCAATGAAACGGTCTTAGACGGAAGAAATTTGAAATTGAATAGAAATGAGACAGGAATATGAGATAATAGTATTCGCAGCTATTCTCGACTACGTGAACTCGAATGAAAACCCCTTTATTCACCGTAAATGATGACGAGAACGCTGCAACTCCTGAGCTTCTATTACCCTTCAATTACCAACATAAAAGTTTTGAAAAAGGTCTTAAAACGAGTTTATGTCTTTGAACTTCGTTTGCATGGAAGGATTCTCTTCTGTTCGTAGCCTGTAAATATACATATAATTCTGTTTAAAGGGTGTCCATGTGACTCATAGTCATAGCGTTTCGACGATATGTAATGTACACAGAGTCCATTATGTAAACAGCTTGTAGAGGCCACACACGAATTCATGAAGACGACTACGCTAAATTTATTTTATTTTCATTCGGTATTTTTGGTCCTTTCTTTTTGAAAATGAATCCTGCTTTGAATTCGGTGTGCCAAGTACATTTTGCCAAACTTCGCGTCTGCAGCTGTTCGAGCTTTATCGGGTGATAATCTGTTGTAGGCCGATCTAGGGATTCCAAACATCTTACACACCCATTTAGAAGGCGGAGTTTACGGGACCAACCAGGGTCAAGCGTGCGTTGAGGAATCCTCGACATGTCACAGGGGGGTCGTATTGGCCCGCTGGGGAGAGATCGGGCCCGATTGATACAGTAGGATCATCGTCGGAGGACAAACATTTAAGGATCGAATCGATACCAGGCCAGAGTATTTCCAATAACAATTGATTCCGTCCACACAAAATCTTCGTGATTTAGAGGTGTCCGCTTAGCAATTCTTAGTGACTTTAGTGTTTCATCACCACACAAGTCAAAGGATCCGAAATTCGCACGTTTTCTAGGGATATTTTATCTTTCAAGTAGGTCCTCAAATCCAACGAGATGTGAAGCACACGGCGCATCCCAGAGTGGGCCCAGTTGGTTGCGCGCGCTTCAGCTACGGCTATCTTGATAACGAATCTTAATTCAGGAAGAATCAAGAGGGTTCTGAAAGAGTTCATGTTAAATTACAGAGAGGAGTACACTATTCAATCAAACAAGAAACGCAGCGCCTGTCAAGCGTTCAAATTTACAAGCATGTAACCTTTAAAGTTGAGACCCGCTAAACAATTTTACACTTTTTGCAGAGAGAAAAGCACGAGGATTTTGAATCTGCTCCTACTTCAGTATGTAATCGCTCCTGCAAGGAGCTATAGTCGTTGGGATAGTGCTAATGTAGCGAAAAAGTACCTTTCGGCGGTACTCGGACTTTAGCAGCTTTAGTTGCCTAAGGAAGAGCAAATCTTCTAGTTTATGATGACGTATATACTTTGAACGGAGTTATGCTTTGGAAAGCGTAAAAACTCGCACTCATCACGAATTTTCCTCGTTAATTTTGCAAAAATCCTCAACGTGGCCATTTTTTGAGTACTGGACGTATGAAGCTGCTTTAGCGACCGTTTGATAGAGAAAATCTTCTAGTTTTGTATGACGTATCAACTTTTTGAATTTGACGGAAATGAAGCAAGTTATTGCTCCGGAAAGTGTAAAAACTCGTGCTCGTCTCGAATTTTCCTCGTTATTTGATCTAAATTTGTTATTTCTTATAACTTCCTGTAATTTCAGTACTGATTAGAAAAAGCTCTTCACAAAACTCCCAAATCAGCTTTCAGATTGAAAATTCGTTAACTTTGAAGAAAGTTATAATCATTTGAATATTTGTTCAAATTTCAATAGTAAATAAGCTGCTCCACGGTCAACGCCAAAGTCCAGTCAACACAGCGAAGGCTTTTACAAGGCTTCCTTTGAGCGAAAGGGGGACGTGTAAATTGAGAACCATAATCTGTGTAGTACTAGAATTTGGTAAGTCTTGTGGAGGAAATAAACAAAGAAGAGGTGTTGTCATAGTACGCCATTTCTAGTGACTAGTTTGACGTTTTTTGCTCCGTTTCTCGTTTGCTCGTTTGACAGGACTCGTCATTAATGATCATTCTTTGACTTTTTCACTTTTATACTTTTTAAACGAGTTTTTTTTTGTGGATGGGGTAGCAGGGCTTTTTTATGAGCAGTTTTGGTGGAGAATTAAACAACTTTTTCATAGTTCGGCTTTTAAAGAGGGTTGTTTCATGGACTTCGGCCTTCGGCAGAGGGAGGGGGGGGGGTCGTATTTCCGAATTTTCCTCGCGACGCCTCGCTTGACTTCTGTACGGACCACGAAGGCAATCAATTAGAAGGTGCACATGGTGGCCGGAGATGAAAGAAAAAAAACCATTAGAAACGCTCCAAACCGCACCCGCTTTGCTTTAGCCGCGCTTGAGTGTCTTCGGGGTTAAAGCGGACCTTATCGATTGCTACTCTCTTTTGCATCGACTTGCTCTCTCCTTTTGGACGGCAAGAAAATGCGGGCTTAGTGGTTTACTCGGTTGGCATTGCCGTGCGTCCATACGCAGCGCGAAAGCACCCCATGGCTAGTATTCGGGCGGTGGGCATATCTTCGGCATTCCGCTCACTAGGTGGTGCGCCTGTCTGCCACCTTATTAGGCTTCCCCCTTCTCCGATCCTTCGACCTTATCGGCGAATTTCTCTACTTCTTCAAATATTCAGACACACTGGAGAGAGCAAATAACCGGTGTTTTCGCAGTGTGTTGTGTATCTCGCGAATGATTCCATTCTATGAGTGCTGTTCAAAAATGGTGTTTGCAGAGAAGCTCTGGTCTCGCCGAGTTCAGCCATGGTACTCTTAGCGCTGGCAATCGTCCTTCTATGCAGGTGCAGCGGTCAAGGTAATTTACTGAAACTTATTCGAACAATATTTAATTTTTTGTGTTGAAACTTTTTACATCTTCAAAATTTTTGTACTAGTTGGAGATAGCACCGTTTTTGAATAACTTGCTGGGCATCAGTCTATTTTCACCATCTCAAAGAAATGATCTACGGCTTGCATTTTCAGGAAATGCTAAGCCGACTAGAAGAGTGCAATTTATGGCTTCCCATAGTCGCCTATTCTTTCTACGCGGACACACCGATTACTAGCGTTAATCGTTATCTTTGACGCATTGATAGATATCGCGCTACTGTAACTCGCAAGCAACGATTTGTTACATGCTAAGGTTGCCTGTCCTCGCCTGCGGTATCCCCTTTTACCCCTCTTTATCCGCGCTCCTATTTGAACCTAACACTTTACACCGTTTGCATTCTGTTACGCAATATGCAGCAGATTCCCTTTATCGGTCTGCGACCCGAAACTTACGCTATTACCAGGAAGGTCTTTCAGGGCGTGACGAGCTTTTTGAAAACGGTCTTTTGCATGATATAGGGGCAGATGCGGGGACCACAGAACCATGTTTAATTTTTCCTGAACGGCCCTCTGAATACCAGAAAAGGGGGTCCCTAGTTCGATTCCTCTTGGTGACAAATTTTTGCATTTCGAGTTGACGTTCCAAAATTCGCGCAAAATGGAGTTCTGATTGTTCTGGTTGGTTCTAACTCCATTTTGCGCGAATTTTGGCACGTCAACTCGAAATGCAAAAATTTGTTACCACGAGGAATCGAACTAGGGACCTCCTTTTCTGGTATTCAGAGGGCCGTTCAGGGAATAATAACTTCGTATATACATTTTGGTTTTCTGTTTGTTGTCGCCGTCATTCTGGCCCTATTAATCTATGCAAAAGACCATTTTCAAAAAAGGCTTGTCACGCCTCGAAAGACTTTTCCTGTAGGGGTGTAGAGCAAGGTTCATGTGTACATGCCTTACGTTCAACAGAGAGCAACTGAAAGTTTAGTTTGAATGGTGCTCCGCTAGAGCGTCACTTTGAATTGTGAAGTGAGATGACATCTAGTTCTAGGGAGGTGACGCATCGGCCTTGTGCTGCTCGCAGTCTTGGCGAGAATCTTGTGGTTTGTGTGTGCAACACCACGTACTGCGATGACATCGAGCCGCTCGGTGACCTTCGAATAGGGCAAGCTGTGCTGTACTACTCAAATCAGAATAGTAGCCGACTAATGAAGTCGAATCTGCGGCAGACTGCTAACCGAGCAGGTAAGCGATGAAGTTAAAGGAATCTTCCACGGACGGCTCTTAACTACGTAATGAATTGAAATCAATGTTTTTTTATCCTACGCACCCTCGTGTCATGCATTGTGATCGAGTAACTTTTTTTTTCAAAACAATTTGTAGAGGGCAGCATTCTTCTCACTTTGGATTCCCGAACCACTTACCAGAAAATGCTGGGATTCGGTGGAGCATTCACTGATGCTGCAGGAATAGTCCTCCAATCATTGCCGAAGGCGATGCAAGACACTATACTTGAAGGATATTATGGCTCCAGCGGTAAGAGAATCAAAATGGATCTCACCCCCGACGTATGAACACATTAACTACTTATCTAGGCCGACAGTACATCTATTGGGCGAGTGCCAATGGCGAGCACAGATTTTTCGACGCACGAATATAGTTACGCGGATACGCCCAGATGATTTCTCGTTAGCTGATTTCTCTCCTAACGAACGAAGACCGGAGAGTATAAGGTACGAGTTCTGTGGCCTTTTGAAAGGATTTTTCCCAGCCCTGGTAAGCTGTTCCAGACTTTCAGACTGACTATAGGCAAGCAAGAAAAAAATTGTCAAGCAAAGTATTTGAACACGTTAGACGTGTGAGTGCTGAAAGCTATGGTACGTATACCATGAAAAGCTGAGTTGGAATGAAATGGTGCCCCGGTAGCGTAACTGGTAGCGCACTTGCCCGGAAAGCGAGAGGTGCGGGTTCTAGTCCCGCCTGGGGCGAAAGTTTTGTTCACAACCCAGCATTCTTGTGAAAACATTCGCAAGAATGTTTAACGATAAGGATAGCGTATTCTGTTCACATATAAAGGTGGTTTCGGTGTGTACTAATATTAAAGGCTGATAGTAAAGAAGAAGGGAGTGTTTCGATGAAAGAGCTTCTAAATATAGTCCTGTAATGGTAGCAATAGTAGTTATATTGGTGGACTTGAAATTAAATGAATAAATACCACTATTGCAGATTCCATACATCATCCAAGCGCAACACTTATCTCAGAATACGACTCGATTCTTCGCATCACCTTGGAGTGCGCCTGGTATGATCTTTGAAGGCTCGAATGGCGAATATTTTTGTTGTAGTTTTCTCCCAAGAACAGATACCCCAAAGGGTTGTTATAGTTTCTCCAGAACAAGAATACCCAAAGGTTTGACGTACGTTTCTGTCTCTTCGCCTTCATTAGAGCCAGGAAAAATCATAATGTAGTTCAGACCGATCCTTTCCTTGGCGAATAGTGTTGAAAACACTTTCTGCAGAATAGTGAACCAATAGCATATCAATGAATTCAGGGCTCCATAAGGCTTACCTGTATCTTTGTCGGGGCGCAAGATCGACCACCCAATAACTAAACATTTGTGTAGAATTAGCGAAGCTGTCTCAGAGCACCCTCTTTCTGTGTTGCGGCACGCGTTTGACCAAGCGGCATTGGTTCAGTAAAGGTTCGGATGTTCTCTTAGCATCCTCCCCTCTTAATCACCTAACAGGCCTCGAGCTAGCTCAACAAACCATACAAAACTCCAAGACATAGTAAACTTCATATGTAACCAAATCAGCAAACAGACATAAGGCAAGGAATCGCACGAGCAGAACAAAATATGCAGATCATAAAGGAGGTAGACAAGTGGCGGAGTGGAGGTCGTGGTCATCCGACCGGTCGCAGTACGGTCCGTCGGCAGAATCCTCGTTGTTCCTCTCGTCCTCGCTCCGCCCCTTCGATCGTCTTCGAACCGTCCGACATCTGGAAACATAATGCCTAAGCGATCAAAAGTAAACATAGGATGTCTAGGTCTAGAATAAGCTGATGACCTAGGTAGATAACATAAGGAGAGAATAAATGTAAACAGACCATTATTTGAATTACCCTAACCGTTACAGTTCAAAGCGTACAATTCATCGACTTAATTTTTTTTGAATCATGCTCCATCATACTGTGTTGCATAGTCAAGTCAAAAGTAGTCAAGGAACGGTATTGTAGAGTGGTACACATGATGTGGTAGGATTTTCATCCCAGCTGCAGAGGTGTGTCTTTGACAGCTCTCGCAACTTGTGGCCGAGTGCACAAAGGAGCGTGACGGTGGGACAGTCTGTGCGCTAACCATTCTTCTTCCTTCTGATCCTTTTCCATTGTATGTAAGCGTTTCCAAACAGTTGTTACAGTAATTTGGAGCTCATCGGCGAAGTCACTGAAAGCACTCGGGCCTTACGAATCACCTCCTTGGAATGCTTTGGTCGACCGAGACGCTGCTTTTCGATGACATCGAGACCCCTTTGTGGATCGTTAAACACATTACTGACACTAACTATAGGAGGCGTA